ACAAAAGTTCTCTTAGTGGATGTTAATTTAGTGAGAGGTGATGCTACCTGGCTGTAATTGCGGATGAATCTTCTGTAAAAGTTGGCGAAACCTAAGAATCGTTGCAACTGTTTATGTGTGGTGGGAATGGGCCAATCACGAACTGCTTCAACCTTCTCAGGATCAGTCTTCAACCGCCCGCTCTCCAAGACGAATCCAAGAAACTGTACAGATGAGGCGTGGAATTCGCATTTCTCGGCTTTGACAAAGAGGCGGTTTTCCAAAAGACGTTGCAGTACAGCACGGACGTGGTGGCGGTGTTCTGAGAGGGAGCTGGAGAATATCAGGATATCATCGAGGTAGACCGTAACGAAGTTATCTATGTAATCATGGAGAACAGAGTTGACTAGAGACTGGAAGACAGCAGGGGCGTTGGTGAGGCCAAAAGGCATTACAAGGTATTCATAATGGCCCAAGGGGGTCTTGAACGCCGTCTTCCACTCGTCACCCTCTCGGATACGGACCAGGTGGTAGGCATTGCGGAGATCTAGTTTTGTGAAAATGGTGGCTTTCTGGACAGGATCAAAAGTGGATGATAACAGAGGCAGAGGATATTTGTTCTTTATTGTGATTTGGTTAAGCCCTCTATAATCAATACAGGGGCGCAAGGAACCATCCTTCTTTGCAACAAAGAAAAATCCTGCTCCAAGAGGAGATGTAGATGGGCGAATTATACCGGCGGCTAGTGATTCTGATATGTAAGTGGCCATGCATTCTCGTTCGGGCTTAGACAAACTGTATAATCTACTGGAGGGTAATGTAGCACCTTGTAGGAGATCTATACAGCAGTCGTATGGACGATGAGGTGGCAGAGAGGAGGCTCGGTCTTTACAGAACACAGCTTGTAAGTCGTGATATTCAGATGGAACCAGAGACAGATCGGGAGGAGTAGGTGTACTGGAATCTGGAACTGGGACAGAGAGGTTAGCAGACAGGAGGCAGTGAGATAAGCAATACGGGCTCCAGGATGAAATTTGACTTGTCTTCCAATCTATGTGAGGATTGTGGGTGACTAACCAGTCATGACCCAAAACAACCGGAGTTTGGGGTGAAGGGAACACAAAAAAGGTTGTAGATTCATGATGGTTACCGGAGATTAACAACTTTACTGGCGCGGTCTGGTGGGTGATGGTGGTTAGAGAATTACCGTCCAGTGATGATGCCCTGATAGGAGTGGTTAGTGGGGTCGTCGGAATGTGGAGTCGGTCCACGATTGTTTGGTCCAGAAGGTTTCTCTCACAACCTGAATCCACCAAGGCCTTAGTAGGAAAGCAGTCCTGATTAAATGAGACAGAGCAGTTAAGTTCACAACGGGAGGACTTGTTATCCATATTTCCACCAACCAGTATTCCCGGAATTATTGGTGGGCTCTCCTTCTTTGGGCGGACCGGGCAACTAGCTAGGAAGTGACCAGGCTTCCCACAATAAAGGCAAAGCAGGGAGGAGAGTCGGTGTAATCGCTCTTCTGGAGTTAGACTGGCCCGTCCTACCTGCATGGGCTCATCCTGAGGGACCAGAACATGAAAGGGTTTTGGAGGAGATGTGGATTTGGTAAATTGGTTCGGCAACGCTGGTGGAAAACATGGCTGGACAAGTTTTGGGCGGTTCTTTTGCCTCTTCTCAATACGGACAGCCAAACTAATCAGGTCCTCCAAAGTTTCTGGCTCAGGACAAAAAGCTAGTTGATCCTGTAAATTATTATTAAGGGCTTGGGTGAAAGCTCCTTTAAGGGAGTCTGGATCCATTCGGGAGGTAGTAGCGAGGGTTCTAAAGTCTATGGCAAAATCTAGCACTGTTTGTTTACCTTGTTTCATAGTCCATAATGTCTTTGAGATCTCGGCGGGTGTTTCAGCATGGTCAAAAGTATTCCTAAATTCAGTGAGAAAATTGTGTAATGTGCCTTTAAGAAAGTCAGGATCACGACTTCGTGCCTCTGCCCATTGTAGGGCGCGACCGCGGAGCAGACCTACGATGTAGGAAATCTTTATTTGGTCACTGTTGTATGTTTCAGGGTACGTTCCGAAAGTTAGATCACATTGCAGGAGAAAACCCCGAACTTGACCGAATTCACCCCGGTAGGTGTCTGATGGAGAGGACTCCGGGACCCGGAAATGGAAACGGGGTGATTGAACGGTTTGAACCGGAAGCGCTTGAGCGGCTGACGGAGGAACAGAAGGAACGGACACTGTTAGTTTATCATTTAACTGCTGGATTATAGCTTCTAATTGAAACAGGTGTTGGTTTGTTTTGGACTGGTACCCGAGAAGGGACTGGATGGAATTTTCGTGTTTGGATAAAGTCGAGGCGAGAGCCGGCGGGAGAGATTCTGCGAGTGGGTCAGAATTAAGGCCGGATGATTCTGTCATGCTGGGCAGTAGCTTTGTGACCCACGACATGCAGAATCACACACTGAGACAAAGGTAAGTAAAAAGGTTTTTTTTTTTTTCATGAACGATGGGGAGGTGGAGATGATGGTCTGAGTTTGGGTGGTTCCGGTAGAGTTCTAGAGCGGAGACAGGAGTGAGTATTTGCAGATTGAACATATGAGGAATATGAGTTAGTAGCTTACGGTTTCCTGGTTGTTGGTAAAGGCATAGAGGGGGAGACAAGTCATGCCTGGCTGAGCTGGTCGAGTGAGTGGCAGGTGTGGCTGGGAGCTGAGCACCAGAGTTCGGATTGTTCAGGTTGGCAGGTGGGGGTAGGAGAGCAGGCGGTCAGGGGCGAGCGACGGGCTGGCAGGCAGGGTTGAAATCCGGTGAGTCTATTTTCAGATGATGGAGGTTTGGTTGGAGGAGGAGAAGCTCCTGAGGAGGTCGGAGGAAAACAGAACAGATAAGTTTAGGAGGGCGAGGTACACAAGAGGCAAAATAAACTTCAAAACACTGGCAAGGTTCTGGCACGAGTTCTACCCAATTTTGAGTATCATCCGGCACTGATGAGTTGTCCCGACGCTCCTTAAGTCCCCTGACCACTGATGAGCAGATAGGCAGCAGCTGCTCTCCAGGCACACCCACCTGCACACAGAAAAAAACTCAGCACAACACACTGTTAGACTCAGCACAAACCATGACAATCAGATACTTTTTTACCCTTACTTGAGTAATAAACCCTATATCAGGAAAATATTGTCCTCGGTTTGTGTCCTTCCAGTGAGCTTTGCAGATTTGGGAAAATGTCATCAGGCAGTAATCATTGTTAAATTCGTAATTATTCTCGGAGAGAGACCAACTCTTATCTGCCCCTGGGAGCCCCGTAATGCATAGCGTCATTTCAACATGGGGGTGTCCGCGACACGGTTCATATGCAGGTAGCGGCGCTGCGGCTGCTTTATATAGCGACTCGTTGCGTTCTCCCTCAACCCAAATCCTCGGATCACGCATTTTAGTTAAAACGCTAACGTTAGCTTGCCTTGCGTTGACTGTAGAGTTGTGGGTGATGGTCACGCAGATGTGTCATGAGATTTGAAGCGTTGCTGCCTTTCACAGACACTTTTTCTGCACATACTGCAAACAGGATAGCCGTCTTCTATAAATTGTCCCTCGGCATTCTTCAAATATCCAAAAAATGTCCATACTTCCCACTTTGTCTTCTTTGAGGGATAATAAATGTCCTGCGCGCTGCCGTCTCCTCCTTTGGCCATTATTTCAGCTTTAGCTTCAAGAAAGTTTTGGTTGTAAACAACAAAGTGCGCATGTGCCGCCGGCAACTTCAGCAGATGATACGGTGGCTGGTAAGGGTCACCGCGCCTACACCGCAGCCACGGTAATCCACCGAGATAATATAGTTTTTTAAAAAACAAGACGGTTATTATTATTGTCAACTTTTTTACCGGGGTTTACCGCTACACTGGTTACTGTGACAACCCTATATATGAGCAGTAAAATGTTTTTTTTTTCTTTGTATTCAAATGGCAACAAGTCAATAAGCCTTTAAATTATTTGTTTTTCCTGTTCCCCCCCCCCCCCCACAGTTTTTATTAGCTGCTCTCTTGTGCAACTTAACAACAATGAATACATTATAGAAGATATCAAATATGTTTTACCCTATTGCACTAAAAGTCTCTGCTTAAGACTGAGTTTATCTTGTCTTGTGTGACCAAGTCAACGCCTGACAGCTCAAAGCTGTTATATGTGGAGACACAAAGGTTTGGTCTCAGATATTCTAACAGCCAGATCTTTTGTCACTTCCAGCTGGATTTAACTACAATAATTATTGGTTTATGTGGTTTGGCAGCTATAAAGCTCTAGAATAGTGGTTCCCAAACCTTTTTCCTTGAGGACCCCCAACTACAGACATACATACATTAAATATGATTGATTACAAAAGTTATACAAACATTCAGAGTAATACCTTTTACATTAACTTTGATTATACTGTAGGGTGTTGTTGGGATTTTAGAAGTGGAAGTTTTACAAATAAAAGCTTAATAACCTCACAACCTCAGCACAGACACGTTTGTGGGGACCCCCTTAGGGGTCCTGGACCCCAGTGGGCTGCATGATGGCGCAGTGGTTAGCACTGTTGCCTCGCAGCACGGAGGTTGCAGGTTTGAAACTCTGCTTGGCTGCGGCCTTTCTGCGTGGAGATCACAACATGCCCTATAGGTTATAAAAATTGTAAGTCGCTTTGGATAAAATACGTCTGCTAAATGAATAAACATAAACAGTTTGGGAACCAATGCCAACCCATTCCACGCAAGCAATAAACTTTTAATTTGATACCCAAAATATTTCTGCTTAACAAAGGGAAAGCACACAAGGTCTTTTTTATTTATAATGACCGATTGATTGATGATGATCAATCATTAAGTCTTCCGGAAAACACACGTCTGAGTTTTTATTTGGTAACAAACATGACATTTCTGCTGTAAAGTATAACAAACATGTGACTTTCCTGCTGTAAAGTATAAACATTGGTTTAATGTCTTACATAATTTGTATTTTTTTATTTATTTTGTTCAGATTGAGAAGAAGCGCAACATGTCAAGCAGTAACTCCACCTCCTGTGTCTTCATGGTCAACAAGCCATATGCCCTCACCTGCTCTTTGGTGGCTTTCTACATCCCCTTGGTCCTCATGGTGCTGGCTTACCAGAGGATCTACATCACGGCTCGAGCCCACGCCCTTCAGATCAGCATGCTGCAGCGGGCAGGCGGGGCTGGGGCCAGCACTCCTGGGACTTCTGGTGCTGGCACAGGAGTGGGAGTTGGTGCAGCTTCAGATTCTGCCGACCATCAACGCAACCATCGCATGCGAACAGAAACTAAGGCAGCAAAGACTCTATGCATCATTATGGGATGTTTCTGCCTCTGTTGGGCACCGTTCTTTGTCACAAACGTGGTGGACCCATTTATAGACTACACAGTGCCCGAGCAGCTGTGGACAGCCTGCCTGTGGCTGGGTTACATAAACTCCATGCTGAACCCCATCCTCTACGCCTTCCTCAACAAATCCTTTCGTCGTGCCTTTCTCATCATTTTATGTTGTGGGAGGAAGAGGTACAGCAGGCCGTCCATCATGGCACCCAGCACTGCCACTACAGTTACACAGATCAACGGTTCAACACACGTACTCAAGTAAGTCTCTCAAATCTTTTCGCTCTGAAAAATTTGGTTCTTTGTCAGAATCTGCGGAAACTGTTGAGATGACATCGTTCTAAATTAGTGTCTTCCTGAGCTGTGATGCTTGGAGACAAACTGAAAATCACATTTGTCACATTGTTTTCAAAAATTCTCAAGTCGTTTGCAAAGGTTTTCACTTTCCTTGCATCTGTTGGATAGTTCCCTTTCATTTTGTTCAGATTTTGAACTCGTTCAAAATATTTATGTCAGCAATTTCCTTCCAAAATATTCCGAGTTGCTTCAGATATCTGAAACTTCTCTCTCTTTAGTGTTTTTTAGAATACATTTTAAATACAGTCTGGATAAATTGAAACATAACGATGCGTTTGGGACTACATGACAACAATTAGATTTCCGTAACTGTAATCACATTGCATGCCTCACATGACCCAGCCGTATTTAAACTTAACACAGAACTGTCCTACTGAAAATGTAATGGACAATGTGTATCCAACTACTCAAAATCAGTGGCAGCCCAGTGAGACAATAACATACGGTTAGACATCATGAGTTAGACAAACAGCAAAAACATGTGAAACTGTGTCAGATACAGGAGAAAAATTTTCGGTGTTCAAAAACTAAATAAAAATGAAGAGTGAGACCATTTTAGTAAAACAAATTAGCAATTTTTCTTAAGTTTTCCACACTTGATAATTTTATACTGCTGGGACAGCAGTAGCTCTGAGCAGATAGTCAGTAATCGGAAGGCTGCAGGTTTGATCCCGGCTCCAACCAGACAATGCTACTGTTGTGTCATTGAGCAAGACGCTTGACCCGCCATATCTGCTGGTGGTGATCAGAGGGACTGATGGCACCAGTGTTCTGCAGGTGTCGCCTCTGTCAGTGCGCCCCAGGGCAGCTGTAGCTACATTGTAGCTCATTCCTGCCAGCGTGTGAATGACTGATTGTGTTGTGAAGCGCCTTGGGGGGGGGGGGGGTTGTAGAGCCCCAAGAAGGCATTATACAGATACAGGCTATTTACCATTTATTTGAAGTGAGTTAGTTCATGTTGTTTCTATAAAGAGAAGCTGAGAAAATCTTTCTAAATATTTTATGCCATAACTTACTCATCAGCTGCATGAGCATTGCAAGTATCGTTTAGTGTGTTGTAAGATAAGACTATTAGTTCATACAGGATCAGAGTCACTTGTTAATTGTTTGTCCTATAAAATATACATAATTAAATACAGTGAATGGGGAAGGGGTTATTATGTAAAAAATGACTCCTTTTCAGAAATAATAAAGATGTCCTTATTTCTTTGAATCATCATTACAGTCCGTGTGCATTTGCAAAGCTATTACATGAATGCATTTCACTAGAAAGACACGTGTGTCTGTGTGTGTGTGTGTGTGTGTGTGTGTGTGTGTGTGTGTGTGTGTGTGTGTGTGTGTGTGTGTGTGTGTGTGTGTGTGTGTGTGTGTGTGTGTGTGAGAGATACCTCATTAATGCAAGCCTAGTGTCCCCTATGTCTGTCTTTTTTAGATAACCTTGCCTCTGTTCACTAATGACAGCGGTGCACTTCAGTCTTTTCATGGCTCTCAAGTTGTTCTTGCTCATGTTCTATAAAAGGATCCATGCTGAAAAAACAGAGGAATTATAGTAACCTTTGAACCCATTAGGGACTTCAGAGTCTTATATTGATCTCCTCACATTAAATGTTCTCCCTTTTCATCTTTTTTATATACATTTTAACATTGTGCATGGTGAATTACTACATTACTTTAGTTGCACTTATTTCTGAAAAACATACAGAAAAAGGTGAGGTAATAAATCTTATTTTCTTGGAGATAGCTTCTCTGATCGGGCCATCAGGGTATTTTTGAAAGAAAGGAAAAAGAAAAACAACTAATGAGGATTTAAGCAAAGATAAAGTTTATTTGGCATTAAACTTCATCCTCAGTGAAACTGCTGGTCCATTAAGTTAACTGAACAATAAAAGCAACTTCATTTCTGATGTGAGAGGACTTCTTCTTGTTGAGTTGAAATCACAGCAGCAGTTGCACCAAACTGGTGCTTACCAGTTGAGACTTTATTGAGCTGGAGGTCATTGAAAGCAATCAATGAATGTGTTTATAACAACACAGAAGTCCTAGTCAAGTAACACCCGTTTAATCGACATTACACGTAACTGTTTTTCATGTCTGACATTTGTGGACCACCTCTAGCGACTTGTTACCCTGGACTGAGTTCAAGCTGTTATTGTGAGGCGTTATTTTAAAATTGCTGCTAATAATTGTGTTGCAATTATTTGCAGAAACATTGAGAACCAGCTAGGATTTAAAATGTTTTCATCATTTAGTTCCACTGTTCACTTAAAAACAAGTTATGTGTTAGACGTCTTATTTGTTTCTACTCCTGTGCTGCACGCAGTACAAAGAACATCTATGTTAAGCTCAGGCTTGCAGGAAAATATGTGAAAAACTCTTATGGCAATTAGTAATGCTTATTAATAAAGCTTCCTAACAATGCATAATTAGGTACATTTAAAAAAATGAAATCCCCTTTTTGACAACCTGAAAGTTTTTCTAAATCTTTTTTATGTTAATAGGTGTTACCACTTATGTAGAGCAAAGTACAATTTGACATGAAGTATAACTGACAAGATTTAGATTGTACCTCTTTCCAGTGTTAATTTGACAAGACATTTTAATTTAGTTTTAGTCTTAGTCATGAGGTGGAAATGTTTCAATAGGACCCAAATGCAGAGGCAGGCTGACCAGCCAAATAACAGTTTAATATGAATAATGACAGTGAGGCCAACACAACAGGTAGACAGCACAAGGATCTGACTAAGACGAGCACCAATAGAGGGTTTAAATATATGAGGGTAATCAGGAATCAGGCGGGCCTGTGGGGTTGCCGCTGATATCTCCCGGGACTCTGCCGGCTGCTGATTGTGGCCCCCCGGGGCGATCCTCTGCGCCTCTCGAGGGGGGCAGGGGCTTTTCTGGTTGCAGTCTCCTTGGGGTCCCTGTGCTCTGGGGCAGCTCCTGGATCTCTGGGACTTGGAGCTCCCTCCATCTCCTACACATCTTTGGGGGGCAGATCTGTGGCCCCTCACACTCTCTATAGGACACTCCTATAGAGAAACCTTACATATACAAGCACGTGTACACACACAGGTGCTCACATGGTGCTTACACGAGGATGGACTTGGGCACGTTCAACACATGTCTTAAGGTTGTGGTTGGCACTAAATGCACTGTGATTTAATATTGTGTGATTGTTCAGTTAAACAATGTTGATTTTATATTTCCTCATCAAGTTGACACAGTGATAACTTGCTCCTGTTGTATTGTTGTGTGTCCCTTTTCTCCAGGTCTAGAAGCAGACTCTTGTTCATCATTGATTGTTTATTTCCTGCTTTCTGATTTTGCTTTCAGCAATTTTCGTCATCGTCTTTTATTCACTACCAAAATGTCAATGAATTTTAGTCATAACCTGCTGTTTTTAGAGATATTTCTTTAGGTTTTGTTTCCTTTTTGTCTGCAAAAATTCATTCATCATGAAAAATAAAATCTCTCTTTCTCTCTCTCTCTCTTTCTCTCTCTCTCTCTCTCTCTCTCTCTCTCTCTCTCTATATATATATATATATATATATATATATATATATTTTTTTTTTTTTTATATAGTAAACGAAATAAATACTGCCTTTTTCATTACTGTCTAGTTGATCTGTACACCAGAGTCTGTTACTATCTCTGGATTTCAGAGGTTTTCTTGTGTGTGTTGGAAACCAGCCATTAAGCATTGCTGTCAATTGAAAGCCCACACAACAAGGTGTCTACTCAATCATTCTACAGCATTGTGTTCACAACAACATATAGCCCACATGGGCGTCCTGGGGATTTAGTACCCTTTAGTAAGGTTATTATAGCCTTAAATGCTAAAACACCCAAAGGAAATCCAGCAATCTAAAAGATAACATTTAAAAGAAATCTTTATTTATTTAGTTATGAATAACTCTATCGTTTTAAGCTCATTTCTTCATTTTGTTACAACAGAGTTCTACAAGATTCTTCCGACTTATTTTGTTAATATTTATTTATACTTTATTGAATCCATTCTTCCCTTCACATTTATCAGAAAAAGACCTGTGTCTGCACCTTAATATGTATGAACTTTCCAGAATCATGTCATGCCATGAGTTGGTTGGTTAGGCACCATCTTAAAGGAGCACATAAACTCCGGGTGAGGAAAAACTAATGACTGAATGACACATAATTGGTAATCAGTAACAGAACTTGAGTGAGTGGACCATGAAAATAACACAAAATAATGGAATGAGAACAAAAGTTGAAACACTTTAAGACAACTTCAGTCAAGCTGTTCCACAGAAAAGTCAGACACCATGACGCAAAACCCTTTGAATTCCTGAATAAAGGACACTTGTCAGCAGAAAACACATTAAAGTGAAAATAAAAATAAAAAAAAGGACACGTTTTCATGTGATTTGAAATATAAAGTCACAGGTAGGGGGTCTTTGCAGGGGCAGTCATGAAAAGAGATCTGAACTTTTTTCACAGACTCCCATTTGACAATTGAACATTTTTTTATTCAAACTTTAACCGTTACGGCAGAGCCAATGGAGCTGTCAGACTCTAAGATCTTAAAATGCCAGGAGTGTTTCAGTGCGGCCCAAAATTAGATTTTAGGTTCATTAGGAGTGGGATGCAAGGTGGCATCAAAGAATGTGTGAGTCACGGTGAGCTGAATCACTTCCCTCCTGCGTTCTGCTACCAGTCAGAGGAAGGGAGGGTTAAAAAGACTCATTCATCTTTTGACTCAGAACATCATAGATGTGTCGATGTGTTCATCATACAGCTGATCTCAATAGTGATGCATGTGTGTGGACAAAGAACTAGCTGACCACCACTGAGATGTAATTAATGTTCCATTCAGTCTGATAAAAAACTGCTTGTGTCCTTTTGACCTTTGACCTCAGTAACAGGGT